ATCCCCCGAAATGTATTTCTAATAGTTTTCATGAGTTTTGTTTGTTTGTTTGTTTTTAATTTCGCTCAAAGCTACCGGAGGGCTATCTGCGCTAGCCGTCCCTAATTTAGCAGTGTAAGACTAGAGAGAAAGCAGCTAGCCAACTCTTAGGCTACTCTTTCACCAACGAATAGTGGTATTGACCGTCACATTATAACGCCTCTACGGCTGAAACGTTTGGTGTGACAGGGATTCGAACCCGCGACCCTCAGATTGCGAGTCGAGTGCCCTAACCACCTGACACTTCGAAACCAAACTTCTATACCACACGGAACATACTCTACTGTTACTTACAGTCACAAACCTACCAGAAAATCAGGCCTTAATATACGATTGGTAGGAAAACCTGGAAAAAATGTGAAGCAGTTTCTTGTTCATTCAGATCTGAAACGTCGTAATAATTATAATACTGTAAAATGCTATGCAATGGTTGTGATAAAATCTGCAACAATGTATGAAATGGTGAAGTGAAACTGGTCGTCCGTTACATGAAAGATTTCGAGAATACGTCGATGTCACGGAACAGATCATCTAAACGGAAACTACGGCTGAACACGTTGTTTTAACACATGGATTGCCTAATGACGTACCTTAAAAAGTTAAAGTTTGGGGAACATGTAGCAATTAATTAGAAAGAAAATATATATAGGCGCTGCTAATTAAAGATAAAAATCCTCCCTTCAACAGATATAAAAGTTGGCCTGTTTAAATTTAAATTAGTATAATATAAAAAGCTGAACATGGCATGTCTATACATATTTACTTTATGTAGTATTAATTTACTAGCGTATAACCCGTCAAAAATGACGGGACAAGTACTACCACCCTCACTCCCACTCCACAGTATACCTTAACCTCATAGCTAACTGAAATAAATAAATTTTACGAACTCGGGCTTGACCAACAAAGAGGCAGAAAAGTACAGTCGAAACAGTCAAACATAGGTAAATTTGTGAGCCAATCAAAATTAAGATAATTCATGAAATGAATTCGTGGCGTATTCATAGAATATTTTTTGGCAAAAATCAGTTAGAGTAACAAGTTCCTAACATATTGTTACGTCTCCGTTCGTTAGTTGATTTTCCGTAACTTCGTTCCGACGAAACTTTAGCGACACAAGTCCTTTCTTAATAAAACTGGTTTATTCTTTCTGAATACAACTTTACCGATACACTTATTTTCAACAGTCGCTCTATAACAAACGCTATAACAACGAACGTTAACTTCAACAATACTTTCTGACTGCAGTTCAATTACTCACTACCTACACACATTGTTACGTCACGCCGTGACCATCTTATATATACCAGCCCATCCCCAATCTAGCAAATGCTAGAGCACTCCCGAAGGAACAGGATAGTTCAAGAAAACGGGTGGCATTATACTAGTCACGTGATCTCGCTGACGCAACAATATATATATATAGGTAAAGCCAGTGTGTTCTAGTAACACTACGTTCCAATAATGGCTTTTATGTAATATCGCTTAGCAACAAAAGTATAACCTAATATTGTTGTTAGTCTACGTACTGAAAGTATTAAATAAAATGCATAGACAAGAAAACTGGAAAAATATTTATTGATTTCTAAAATTAGAATCTCTGTTGATTAAAGAGGTTTGTTTTTATTGAAAAAGTTGGTGATATAACAGAAAATAGCTTAATTCAGAAACGATTTAAGTTTAGAATTGAATAGATACATTTACTTTCATGATAGATTTTATGCACTTGGCGCTAGGCTAGATGATCCCACACTACGTCTTTACTTTAGGCTTATTATACCAACACTCACTACACTTATAAAGTTTCACAGCCCCCTTGCACCCACGTCACTAAAATCGTAATGGGCAGACAGTGATCTACTCCTGTTTCGAGAAATCAAGAATGACGTGACGTAACACACATTGGCTTTTTTGTTTTTATATAGGTTAGATTTTTCAGAAGAAAATTTGGTTCCTCAAAAGTTGATGTATCATGATATGTATTTATATTGTGTTCTATTCAGATTGTTTATCTGAATTTATTCATCTACTAGCTGGAGTATCCGTCCCCTTGATGGAAGTTATGTAAATTCATGATTAATGAAAGGTTATTTTAGGACATGAAAAGTTGCTTCCCTTATATGTAATTGTAAAAAAACGCAAAAACGACCATAAAAACTGCAAAACACAAAATGTGAAACCGCAACATGGACCCACAAAATCTTTATGCTAAATTTGGTGAAGATCCATCAACAGGGTGCGAAGTAGTGGTAAAAAACACCCATTAAACCCGCAAAACACAAAACTGAAAATTTGTATGTAACCCCCGCACGGACCTAATGAACATCAACCAATTTTTGATGAAGGTCCAGCTACACCCTGCGAAGTTCTTACATGAACAGACAACAGACAGTACTATTATATTTATGTAGATACACACCTAACCTTTGATAATTACGTAAGTCGAAACGTCGGATACGTTAAAAGTTTTATTTATCTGGAGTTCGTGGTCGAATTTATTTAAATATTAAACACTATTTCGAAACTTTTAGACCAAAACACGCAATGACACGGGAAAGACAGTATTCCAGCAAAATACATTGTTACTCCAACATGAATGAATTCGAAAAATATATTTTATGAACTTAAGTTCATGGTATGAGAGCCCGGCATGGCCAGGTGGTTAAGGTGCTTGACTCGCAATCTGCGGGTCGCGGGTTCGAATCCCCGTCCCACCAAACATGCTCGCCCTTTCATCCGTGGGGGCGTTATAACGTGACGGTCAATTCATTGGTAAAAGAGTAGCCCAAGAGTTGGTTGATGACTAGCTGCCTTCTCTCTAGTATTACACTGTTAAATTAGGAACAGCTAGCCCTCGTGTAGCTTTGAGCGAAATTCAAAAACAAACAAATAACCAATCATGTCATAGAGGTGCACACTATGTTCATTGTAAGTAAAATTATCTTAATTTAATTATGCTACGTGTGATTGAATTAACAAAATAATCAACAATGTTGTTGGGAATCGTGCTGGACTTGCTTCTTTAATTATGGACAAATAAAAAAATTAAATAAAATTATCTCAACACCAATCTTCAGGAAAAACTTTAACTGGACTTAAAGTTAACTTCCTATTTAAAAAAAAAAAATCCCGGTGGTTCATCTGCAAGGTTGATGGCTTACAATGTTCAAGTGTAGGGTTTGATCCCACTGGAGACACAGCGTAAATTACCCATTGTAAATCTTTTCGCTAAAACGTAGAAACACTATATGAATCCGATTTTAAAATAAGTTATTACAAAATAGATGTGTAAGTTTATAAAACATTAATTTGTTGCTGAAAAATAATTTAATTTTTTGAAGAGTTTTAAGAACAAATTCGTAGAAAAATAACCATCACATTTCAATATAAAAATATCCTACGAGTTGTATCGTATAATTCTTCCAAGCAAGAACCTCCCTGACTTTCAAAGGTGGGTGATGATAACTGGTGTACTTCTAGCAGAAAAGAAATCTTTCAGAATCTATCACCAGCGGGAATGGAGAGAAGTAAGTCTGTAACTATGGAGAGGAGTAAGTCTGTAACTATGGAAACGAGTAAGTCTGTAACTATGGAAAGGAGTAAGTCTGTAACTATGGAAACGAGTAAGTCTGTAACTATGGAAACGAGTAAGTCTGTTACCAAGATAAACTGCGGAGAGTAAATAATAATTTTAGAATCTGGTTCTGTAATGTAGCATTTATCAGTTTTTCCCAGTTGATCAACTGTTCAAACAATGGTCAGGATTAGATTATCTCCAACAACGCAAAGGAAATCACAAAAATTATCATATGAAAATCAATACAAAAACAGCTTATCTCAAATGAAAACGGGAAAGCATAGCATCAGAGTTGCTGAGTCTGTGACAGTAAACGACTGAGTTGCGTTTCATGATCTTTCTGTTTACAGACACAAAAGTAAAAATTTTGAGAAACCAAATAATGAACTTGTGTTGTTTCGAACACGAAGGCTGTTGAAGGAAGTACAAAGGTGAGAGGAACGTTCTCACAGCTGGGTTTGTGTCTTTTTAATCTTTGAGAAGGAAGAATGACATAAGTTTTGTTACCAGTCGAGTCCAGTCCACAAGGTTGCATTTCCACTCTAAGGGACTTTTCTTGAATGTTTCGAATTTAGTTCGAAAAGACAGCAGTAATCTCAGCCATCTTCCTTGTCTGACACACATATCAGAACTTACTTTGATTGAATATTTAACGTCGCACTCACTGTTGTAATTGTTTAAATCAAATGCAAGTCCACGCCAAATCGGATTTTGCTCATTATTAGATGGAAAAAAAAGCAACCCGATATTAAGTTTCGGATGTCATTTAAAAAGTCCAATCAGTGTAGACTATGAGAAAGAGAGAAATAAATTTGTGCTGAAGAATAAGCCTAATTTATTTTAATATTTATTTTAATTCTGGCATTATAATTTTTCCTCGTCACACCAAACATGCTCGCCCTTTCAGTCGTGGGGGCGTTATAATGTGACGGTCAATCCCACTATTCGTTGGTAAAAGAGTAGCCCAAGAGTTGGCGGTGGGTGGTGATGACTAGCTGCCTTTTCTCTAGTCTAACGCTGCTAAATTAGGGACAGTTAGCACAGATAGCCTTCGTGTAACTTTGCGCGAAATTCAAAACAAACAAACAAACCAAGGTATTTATTTTTTATTTTTCATGGCCTTAAACATGTCGAAATTCTAACAATATTACTGCAAGTAAAACTGGGATTATTGCACAACAATTCAACATGACAGTAATAAATTACGTTGTGTGTGTGAATGGTATTTCCATGGACACTTAAACTGTTAGGATGCTACAGCATTAAAAAGACTGGTGCAAATAAAACAGGTGAGACACTTATCGGACTAATATCTTTCTATTTATTTAGTTTAGTAATGTTGAGCTGACTTTCTCGCGTAGCCAGGCTTCTTGTTTTTCATCCTATAGTCCCACACCAAGTATATCAGAAGGATGCATACCTGTAATACATGGACAATTATTTGTAAAAATTATACACACAAGTTTCTCGAGTAACAATGGTATACAGGTTTACGAACTTACGCAAAAAAAAAAAAATCACAATTCGTCAATCTAGAGCTTTACAAAATTACTAACAATATATATACTTAAAATTCTCTTAAACCAAGTTTTGTCCAGTTTTTCTAGTCCTAAAATAATGATATTTAATATATTCCCTTGTAATAAAAGCCCCCCAGCTTTTTGTATTAAATAACCAATCAGTCCTCTCTTTTAAAAGTCTCAATTAACGCAGCCCGGCATGGTCAGGTGGTTAGGGGGCGCTCGACTCGCAATCTGAGGGTCGCGGGTTCGAATCTCCGTCCCACCAAACATGTGCAGTAAAAAGACACGACAAGGATTTAACTAACTTATTATAGTTTTGACAGTAAATAATAATAAATAACAAAAACAACGCATTATGTAATATATTCGTACACTTTTTCTTATAATGGTCGTAGTAGCAACTGATTCTTATTGTTTGTGTTTAGGTTTATCTCTAGGTGTATTACTAAGAACAAACCCCCAGTGGCACAGCGGTATGTCTGCGGACTTACAACGTTAGAATCCGGGTTTCGATACTCGTGGTGGGCAGAGCACAGATAGCCCATTGTGTAGCTTTGTGTTTAATTACAAACAAACAAACAATACTAAGAATAAAGATTTTCTTGCAGAGCTACACAAAATTAAGCATGCAAGTTAAACATATATGCTGACTGTTACCAAATGTTTCTGACAAAGTGAAAACCGAGGCGAGGATTTATTCAAACCCGTAAGTCATCTGCTTAACATATGAAAGCTTTTACCAAGATATCCCCTCCCGAATTCCGTCGAAATCACTAACGTAGAACCTAAATATCAGACGGAATTCGAACCCGTGTCACATTTGAACAGAGTTTGTTTGTTTGTAGTTCAGTGCGAAGCTACACAATGGGCTATCTGTCCTCTGCCCACCACGGGTATCAAAACCCGATTTCTAGCGTTGTAAGTCCGCAGACACACCGCTGTGTGCCACTGGGGCGGAGATTCTGAACAAAGAGGTATTTTAACTGAATTATCATGTCAAACTAAGCCTTACAATTTCAAAAGCCTTAATAACAGTCAAAAGCAAAATCCACTAAGCAAGTAACGAATAAGCTAAATCTCGAATATCACTTTTAACTTCATGGGACGAAACGCTATCCTTCAAAAATCCGTATAAATAAACTAGTATAATGAACTCTTTTTTTTTTTCAGTAAACCAGAACAAAGAAGTTTACTTTCCAGATAACCTATGATGAAAACTATACCATTTATATACGTGTATGATAAGATACGGACCATGATGACAAAGGGAGTTTTTACAGTAAACGAAACGTTCGTTGTACACACGTTTATCCAATAATGTGCATTGCTATACATAACTATGTCACTATCAAGTCAATGTCACATTAACAGTGCGTTATTAATAGTTGGTGGATCCAGAGGTGGCACAGAGGTATGTGATCCCCCCCCCCCCTCTCCCATTTCCATTGGGAAAAAAAACTGAAAAAGAAAAGGCGAGAAAGAGTTATGGTGTTCATTTTGTTATTCTGAAGCAGTGTTTCTCAACCTTTTCAATAACAGAGACTGGCTGGTTGCTTACCTAAACTATCGCAGACCGCGCAAGCACAAAGAAAAAAACATTACGATTTACTTATGAATATTCTGTTTGTTTTTGCGAAATCCCAAGCTCCGACAACAAGGTTGTGATGGACCTGTGGTTGAGAAAAATTGTTCTACTAAATATTTCACCAATCATACCCATATTTCTTACACTGAAGTCATATGCGTATAAAAATATCAAATTTTCGAGTCACTGCAACTTGAGTGCCGCCCGAACCATATTTCACCAATCATACCCATATTTCGTATACTGAAGTCATATGCGTATAAAAATATCAAATTTTCGAGTCACTGCAACTTGAGTGCCGCCCGAACCATAATATTCATTTTCACGAATTATCTTTAATTATTTATTAAATTATGACGACCCCTATCGACACTTATATATGAGTTCGTTTTTCCCACCCTCTGAGGGGATAAGTTCGGAATTCATCTTTGGCAGAGCTGCCTGATCTGGCTATTCCTAGGCAACGCTCGACATTAGCAACTATCTGCCTTTCCAGAAAAAAAAAAACTTAAAAATAATTCCCAAAAGGCAGAATGAAAGGAGTTATGCTTGCTGGAAGAACGACTCGGACTCGTCAAACTTCTGCTATATATGATTGGTGGCATCATTTGAATTGTAATCAAGACCGCCAAATTCGGGTAAGTAGGACGATTACTATTTTACTTAATTATGCAGATTTCTTGTATATGTTCTTTTTTTTATCATTCGTCAAATATTAATTTTTCATTCACGTCATGCAAAGACTGTTGTTTATAATAAAAATAAATACATGGAATCTTAAGCCACACTCTAGAGTACCACATTCCCAGTATCCTGTATACAGTGAACCCCCCCCCCAGACTCTCTCCCTTGAACTCGCCTTAAATTAACCACATTTCTTAAATCAAGCCCCCCAGTGGCACAGCGGTATGCCTACGGACTTGTTTGTAATTATGCACAAGGTTACCTAATGGGCTATCTGTGCTCTGCCCACCACGGGTGTCGAAACCCGGTTTTTTAGCGTTATAAGTCCGCAGGTGCCCTCCAGTGGCACAGCGGTATATCTGCGGACTTACAACGCTAGAAACCGATAGCCTTTTTTGTAGCTTTGTGCTTAACTAC